TTATTGATATTTACTGGCTTTTCAGTGCTTGAGTGGCCGTCCATTTCGGTGGTTTCTGCAACAGAGTGATGCATATAATAGAAATTACATCTTCATTGATATCTGTAATGAAGGCCACCAGAAATTCAGAGCCCTGCGATTGGGTGAATGTTATTTATCAAACTAAACCCGTCATAGGGCATTGCAATAGCTCAAGCGGTTAGTCGCTGGCTTCCTACCGCGACGGCCAGGTTTCGAACCCGGGATCTGGTCAAGTGGGATTTGTGGTGGACAATGTGGCGCTGGGGTAGGTTTTCTTCTAGTACTTCGGTTTCCCCTGCCAATGTTGTGTAACCGTACGCATCCTTCACGGAAAGTCTTATTTCTTTGTAAGTAACGGTTAAGTTTAGCTGTAAAAATGAAATGCCCCGTAGGGATCATGGTCCTCTGAACTGGCCTTTTGTTGCGAGGGACAGAAGGGAGGTTGGTGAGTCCATTGCATTCATGGGGGAGTAGGTATACCTTCTTTCGTCCGTGCCTGTGGGGGTGGAGGACCTGTGGATCGAAGCTTCGAGAAACTTCTAGAAGGTTTGCAGACCGGAAGGGGTCCGTGCATTTGGTCATGAAGCCCTCCCAGTGGAAAGTCCGAGATGGCCAAGAACAGGGTTTCTGGAAGCAGCAGCATGGGTAAGGAGTGAGTTAGTGAGTGGAAGCCGAGGAGTCAGTGAGTAGAAGCCAGGTAGTGAGGGTGTTCCTGTGGAACCTGTGCTAGGGGGTAACCGATCGAGCCCGCATCCAAAAAAAAACGACGTAAGCGAGCCAACACCCGTGTACCCCTGGGATATAAGACTCATTCCGCTGAATTTAGTGGAGGCATACACCGCGTGAAGTAAAGTGTGTGGGGACGGGTGTAGTGATGGCGATCAGCGTTTGGGGCCCGAATAGTAGCGGCCGCATATAAACAAAGGACTCTTAACCATGTGCAGCTCAATAAGGATCGGTGCTTCGAACCCAGGAGTGGATCGGTGCTTCGAACCCAGGAGTTCAAGATAGCGGCGTCTGGACAAGAAAAATGACATCGAGCAACGCTGCGGTGAAAAGGACGAAGCAAGTAACAGATCGGAAGACTTGCATCTTGAGCACAACCCGATTCATCTAGAGGAGAATCAACCTCAGCGATCTTCAGGTCAGGTTGGTGGAAAGTGAAAGTTACAGAGACAGACTAGGGTTGTTAATAATCAGGGAAGGTATGATTACTCGCAGATATTTGAGAAACAAAAGGGTAATCAGAGACAATAGTGAAGAACGTGAAACGATGGGTGAGGAGACGACGCAGTTAGAAGGCGTAATTATAGGTGAGAGTGGGGGAGATTCAGAAGGAGAAATGACATGCAATGTGGTCAACCGACAGAAGGGGACACAGGTGGAATCAGTGAGAGTAGGGGAGAACAACTGACGAGTGCTGACAAAAAGGGGAAAGACGACCAAATAGATATGCAAGCAATAATGTCATGTATGAAGGAGATGTTTTGGGGGAATAGGAAGGAGAGCAATAAAAGAATGGAGGATATGTTCCGGGAGATTAGGGACAATAGGAAGGAGAGTGAAAAGATTAGACAGGAATTTAGGAAGGAGGGTGAAAGGAGAGCAAAGGAATTTAATGAAAGTTTGGAGAACATATTTGTGGTACACAAGCGCGAGATGCTGCCATCCATGAATCAGATCGCGAGTCACGTAGAACTGAGGACAGATCGGAAGATGGAAGCAATGAATAGGGAAATTAGCCTAATAACAGAGAGCACCAACGGACAGTTTCGAGCACTGACCGAGAAAGTGCAGAATGATAAAATTGAAACTACTAACAATTTTGAAATCTTGAGACAGGAAGTGAAAGCATCTCACGCTCAGCAGGCTAAGCAGTCGGAGAATAGGTGTGAGAGGGCAAACCAATGCGAGAAACGAGTGGCGGAAATTGAACAGGCTAGCGGACATATTAGCAAGCAGTATGATGTTGTCAGTAAGCAATATGATGAATTGAGGACCCAAGTTGATCTAATGAAAATTCATAAACGAGTAGAAAGTAAGAATAATTGTGAAGAAGTTCAATGTATTGGGATTAATAACCGCCAATCGGATTCTAGGATTGAAAAGACCCTCTCAAGCTCAGACATCATGATTACTCATGTTAATGAACCAATAAGTAATGAAGTTTCATGTAATGGTTCTAATCCTCACAATGACGTCAATAATCAGGAGAAAGTGTGGAGTGGCAACCCTGGAGAATTTGTCAGAGGGATCCTCAGTCACCCCGTAGATCTCACATTACCAATATTCGAAAACAAACCGGACCAAAACGACCAGGCGCATTTGAATTCCTTAGGCGAATACATACAAATTAAGAAAATTCCTCCACCGCTTCAGTTAGCTTTAGCGCGGCAATCTATAAAAGGCATTTCAGTCATGACGTGGGCTGATGCTAATTGGGATCAAATTAAAACGTTTGAGGGATTCCGCAGAGCTTTCCTGGACAAATTCTGGAGCCTCTCAGGTCAGGCAAGGGTTCGACTCCGGGTCTATCAGAATAGATGCGACCCGCTAGGCGCAGCGAACTACTGTGACCATCTTATGAAGAATGCTGTGAAAGCTAAATACCTAGAACCTCCGATGTCCAACCTAGAATTCTTGAATGCCCTCAAAGAACATTATCCCCTCGGGGTAAAGAAGGCCTGGGTAGTAGCAAAACTTCAAACTCTTCAGGAGGCGGCGGCATTCCTTTCTGACGTCGCAGACCTCGAAAACGATCAAGTGGATTTCGAACCAAGGGGACGGAATAATGCGCCCACCCTCTAAAACCCCCATTCCATACCTCTGACAATTCACATGGCATTGAGTGATGAATTAAAGTCATAATAAGATAATAACTGTTAAGATAGGTATAAGGAATAAACATGATCTGTTACTATAATGTTAAGAGAGGAGCGTCCCCACGAAGAATGGATGAGGATTGGAGGTGTGAATGTATGATGAGGAGGGGAAAGGTGAAATCCCCATAGTGCTTGTGGTTACTCATATAATTACAGTCTGGTAGCTCTAATAATATCTGTTGAGAACATCGGTGATGTGAGATCAGTTCAGTATAGGGAAGCTAAGTTTGTCATCAGATAAGGAAACAGAGTTCTATCCATATCCTAAAAGTGTATCGTCGGAAGAAGAAAATTGCGGAAGATAATATTAAAATAGTATCGTCGAGTGAGTGAGTGGAGAGAGATAAAAGAGTGGAAGGAAGAAGAGAGAGAGACGTTCCAAAAGTAAAATCATCGAAACAAGAATGTGAGTGGTGATAGATAAGTGGCCTGAGAGGCGTAAGGAAGAAGTGCTGAAAGTGACGTCGCCGAAAATTGAGTGTAAAGTTAAATGTAGGTGTGGGCGTTGGCCCTAATGAGGAAATAATAGTTGGTTAGAAATATCAGACGGCAGGTACCGATAGGAGTGTAAGTGAGCTATTGTGATGTAAGCGGAGAGATTCCCGAAGCAAAGACTGTCAGTCACTGAGTGTCGAGGCTACCCACTTGATGTAACTGGAGTAATCCTAGGAGGATGATAGGATTATAAGGATTATCATCTTGGCATGTGAATTTTTATTTGTAACGTGGGGACGGTCCATTATATGTGTAAGAAGTCTTGTATTGTTTGATTTTAACTTAAGTGTAATTTGGTACGTGAAGGGCGTACGTGAGAGTGTCATCAAATCAGAGAAACTTCTTTCATCACATGTGTTTCGGAAGTTACCTGATTTGACGGGGGAGTCTGTAACCGTACTCATCCTTCACGGAAAGTCTTATTTGTTTATAAGTAACGGTTAAGTTTAGCTGTAGAAATGAGATGCCCCGGAGGGATCATGGTCCTCTGAACTGGCCTTTTGTTGCGAGGGACTGAAGGGAGGTTGGTGAGTCCATTGCATTCAAGGGGGAGTAGGTATCCCTTCTTTCATCCGTGCCTGTGGGGGTGGATGACCTGTGGATCGAAGCTTCGAGAAACTTCTAGAAGGTTTGCAGACCGGAAGGGGTCCGTGCATTTGGTCATGAAGCCCTCCCAGTGGAAAGTTCGAGATGGCCAAGACCAGGGCTTCTGGAAGCAGCAGCGTGGGTAAGGAGTGAGTTAGGCCCGCCGCAAATTGAACCCAGCACAGGCCAAGCCCACGCCGAGCACACGCCTAGCCCATGGATCCCACGTCCATGGGCTGGGTCGAGGTACCGCATATTGAACCCAGTACTGATCCACGTCAGCACCTAACATCATGGCAACCCTTGATCAAATCCTCATAGATTTAGACTCTGAGTCAGAAACTGAGGACCTAGTTTTATTGTATTCGTTATCTAGAAAAAGGAAAAAAAGTAAAAGAAGTGCTTACTTAGGTGCGCGAAGTACTCGAGGGGAGTTTTTGTTAACTGAGGAAGTTCCAGACAACGTTTTTAGTGGTTGTTTCCGCCTCAACAGAATGCAGTTTGACGAAGTGCATAAATTAATAAAAAGCGACATTACAGGGAGAGAATGCAACGCTCAAAAACCGATGAGGAGTGAGGAAAAATTGGCCGTATGCCTCAGGTAAGATTGTTTGCTGTGCTTACCTAGTCTGTTGTTAAAACATGTTGCTTTAACGTAAAAATGTCCAAATCTGCTTTAATAACATTTGCCTATGAATTTGAAGAAAAGAAGAACAATAAAATCACTACTTGAATTAACTTTATTAAAAAGAAGTCGACATACAAAACATATAGAATCATAGAGGCTGCAATGACCCCGAGGTATGTAAGGTTTCTGGTAAGGATTCTTGTTGAAATAATGCCCCTGACGAAGCCGGCTCAAAGAAAAATTCTGGGTACTGTGTTGTTAGCAAAGTAGCGGGACTGGAAGATGACCTACCAGTTTCCTCCGAAAACGATGGAGAAAATGAAGACGTTCTTGTAGTTTTCTCAAGTTCGTCCTCTTCCTCCGCTTGTGAAACAGCTTCGTAAACCTTGCTTCGAACTTGTCGCTGGTACTTCCCCGAAAGACCCTTTGTTGTATTGTACATTGACATAAAGAAGTGAAACAGCGCATCATTCTTCAAAGGCAATGTTAATTGTTCACGCTGAAGTATTGTTTTTCTCAGTTCATCACGATTCTTGGCTCTCATTTCAGAGGTTTTTATAAAGCGAAGGATGGCGGTTTGGTCGCTGAGTTTAGGGCGTTTTGGTACAGGACTTTCGGAGCGGTCAGACTGACTTCTTCCTAGTTCATCACAATTGCCTACTTCAGGCTCGTCTTGGTCAAAATGTGGAGCATCTTCTTCATTTCGTTTCGCTCCATGTTCAGTTGCACTAATGTCTGCCAAAGGTTGCTGCTCTATGTTTGTGCATGTAGATCTGTTTTTCATGTACGGAATTAAGAATTCCATCTGGTGTTGATAAGACCACGGCCTTTGAATATCCGCCTTGGACCCCGTTTTCTTCATTTTTTGTCTTCGCAGTGCTTCCCGATGACGCTCTCGAAGTTTTCGCCATTGCTCCTTCGCAGTTTTGCCTGAAAACAAAACAAAAAACAACGATTTATGTACCTAATATTTAAGAAATTTAGAATAGCTAATATAGGGCTAGTATAATATGCATTTCACAAATTAAGTTCAAAATGTTGCAAGTACTAATGCTATAAGTACATTAATATCATATGTTTCAGGTACCTGGCAACTGGGGATATGTTCAAAACTATTGCTGCGAGTTATAGAATGGGAGAAAGGACCGTGTCAAACATAGTTTCTCAAGTATGCGACGCACTGTGGCTTCGTTTGCAGCCTATCTATATGCCTACACCATCTAAAGAACTGTGGGAAGATGTATCCCTACAGTTTGAAAGGAAGTGGCAACTGTACAACTGCGTTGGGGCAATTGACGGGAAACACATCTGCATTCGAAAACCAATTCACAGTGGCTCTTCATTCTATAATTACAAACAATATTTTTCCGTTGTTTTAATGGCCACTGTAGATGCTCACTATCGTTTCACGACCATTGACGTAGGGTCCATGGGTAGATTTAGTGATGGGAACGTTTTCTTTAATTCCCGTTTAGGAACTATGTTGCACAATGGATCTCTGGAATTGCCTGACTCCAAACCATTACCTGGTCAAAATGAAGTTACTCCTTACGTGTTCGTCGGGGATGAAGCGTTCCCACTTATGCCGAATTTGATGCGCCCATATCCTAAACTCAGAGTAACTAACAATTTTGCAAATAAAGTGTTTAACTACAGATTATCTCGAGGCCGGCAAACTGTAGAATGCAGTTTCGGAATTTTATCAACACGATTTCGCGTGTACAAAAGGCCTTTTGAATGTAAGTTAGAGACTATCGATAAAATTATAAAGGCTACGACCGTGCTTCACAATTATTTAAGAACGAAGGTCGTACAATCGAACTCAGTGGAAGAAGACGACGAACTTATGACCACTCACAGTGACTCTAATTTAGTTCCTCTACAGCAAAATCGTATTAGAGGTTCAAGACAAGCATTTTTAATTCGAGAAAAATTCAAAGATTGTTTCAGTAGCGCACAAGGTTCTGTTGAGTGGCAACGTAGAGCAGTTGAGAATGGGCACTATTGACCTTATAACATCACAAGCTACCCAAGTTTGGGTGCAAATATCAGGCGTACTTAGTTTGTTACTCTTCTCTTACGTTGTAGATGTTTGCTAACGTAAAGCTGAGGTGATTTATGTTTTTTTGTTTCTCTCAATTAATATTTTAATTAATTCTTTAATAATAAATAAAAATAAAACAGTATCAAAACTTACCGTCTGAACCGAGTTCAGCGCCAATTTCATCCCATACTTCATCCTTCAATTTCGTCCTTATGTAGTCTGGATGACTTGTATCATACAGTACTGTTTTTTCCCGCACGAGTTCAATTAAACTTTCGTCGCACATATTTTAAAGAAACCCACGCGTCCCACGACCCACGAAATCTGTGCGAATCCCACAAACAAACCCACGGCTGGTTGACGACAAACTGGGCTGGCAGTGGAGTGGGTCCAATATGCGCCGCTTCACTACAAACAGTGTTTCACAGAATCTCCCATGCGTGGGCTGGGCCTGTGCTGGGTTCAATTTGCGGCGGGCCTTAATGAGTAGAAGCCAGGTAGTGAGGGTGTTCCTGTGGAACCTGTGCTAGGGGGTTAACCGATCGAGCCCGCATCCAAAAAAACGACGTAAGCGAGTCAACACCCGTGTACCCCTGTGATATAAGACTCGTTCCGCTGAATTTAGTGGAGGCATACACCGCGTGATGTAAAGCGTGTGGGGACGGGTGTACTTGATTCCACCAATTGCTCCACAATCACCCTCACGTATCATCTGGGGCTTGTACAATAGGCCAGAAATGGCCGCAATACATGGGACTTAGTCCCACCCCACTAGGAATAAAAGAACCGTCATAAATCTATACACGTGGGCCGAGGGAAACATTTGGTTTATGTCAATGAGGAATTCATTTTTGGAAAATAAACTTGAGAACGATTTGTTTATCCATTCCTTTTCCTTCTTCTGGTGTGTACCTTATGTACTCTCTTCGATTCATGGAGTGCTACAATTTTTTCAAGTCTTTTTTCCTCTGTTTGTTTTTATGCTATCATTAATGTTGTCAGGTGCAGGGTTGAATGTATTATGAGCACTGGTGACTGAACTACAAACATTTCAATTCAGATTGACAATTTAACAGAATTTGAAAGTATTTTATGGAACTCAAAAATTCATTGCCGTGTTCACAATAGCTAACCATTGGTCACTATCCCGAGCCAGGTCAATCCAATCTATATCATCCCCTCCTACCTCTCCAAGATCTTTTAATATTGTCCACCAACCAACGTTCTCGTCTTCCCATGGAACTCTTTCATTTTGGCATTTCCACCATTCATACTACATGCCCTCCCAACTTCATCCTCCTTGACTTGATCATTCAGAATATACTTGGAGTAGAGTATATGTTATGAAGGTCCTCATTATGCCGTTTTCTCCAACCTCCTGTCACTTCATTCTTCTTCCGTCCAAATATTCTCCTCAATCATCCTGTTCTCAAGCACCCTTAGTCTATATTACTCTCTTAATGAGAGAGACATAGTTTCGCACCCATACAGAACCAGGGGCAAAGTCATCGTTTTGTATATTTTAACATTTATATTTTAGGACAGTAGATTAGACGACAGAAAATTTCCTTGACCGAATGGTAGCAAGCATTACCCGATTTCAGTCTCCTCTTAATCTAATCTTCAACCATGTTTTGACTTGTGATCTTCGTTCCCAAGTATTTGAAGTTTGCCACTTATTCAAAACTTCTGTTTCCTATCGATATGTCATGATTTTCTCCTGAATTTTGGTCATGAGACAGCAACGTATATTTAGTTTCCTCTGTGTTTACTTCTAGGCCCATATCCTTACTTGCGTCAGTTAAAGTTTGTGCCTTTTTCTTATTGGTAGCTTTATTATCACCCAGTAGATTCACATCAACGGTATAGACCAACAGCAGATGTGTCCCGTTTGATTTCAGTCCCTCCTTTTTTTTTTGTACCTTCCTAATGGCAATTTCAAAAGCAATGTTGAAACGGAGTGGCGATAAAGCATCTCCTTGTTTTATACCATTGTGGACAAAAAATGAGTAAGACAAATATTTACCAATACTGACTACTGTTAGTTTCGTTTAAATACATTTTAATCAGCTTAACTAGTGTCACGGGTATCTAAACTCAATCAGAATATTGTACAACACTTCCTTCATAACTGAATCACAGGCATTCTTGAAGTCTATTGAAAGCTGATGTGCTGTTTCATTGTACTTGCACTTTTTGTCCAATATCTGAACAATACAAGAGATCTGATCAGTAGTTGATCTGTTACGTCGAAACCGAAACTGATGATCCACAATAAATTCATGTCCATATGGACATAAATTTGAGAGAAGAATATTGGTAAAAATTTTGTGTGAATTTGATAGCAACGATATGCGCCAATAATTACTACAGTCGGTTTTATCCCCCTTCTTTTGAACTGGTAAAATAATAGACTCCTTCCACTGCTGAGGCAGTTTGTCCTTATGCCAAATACTCGTAGAAGTAATTAGCTTGAACAAGTTCTGCCGGAATTTGGTCACAACCTGGGGATTTATACCTTTTCAATTTTGCAGTAGCAATATGAAACTCGAAAGTCTGCGATCAGATATTAACTGCTCAGTTGTTTGTATTTCTATCTTTTTACATCACTAATCCTATGTACATTCAATAACTGGGAGAAGTAGTTCTTCCACCTGTTCAAAATGTTGTGGGAATCTGCAAACGGATCACCATTCTCAACCTTCACTATGTTACTTGTGGACTGGTAACCCCTCTCAAATCATTTATTCTGCTATACAGGTCTGTAATGTGTTTGTTGTTGCTCTTCATTGCTGGATCATCAATTTCGTCTTTCAGATATTCCCTCTTTTTATTCCTAAAATGCCTGCCGTTTTCAGGTCTTAATATTTTTCTGATCGTCCCCAATTATTCCCCTTTGATCCTGCAAACATTGCAATTTCGCTTGTTTACTATGGTGTTGTGATGTTTATATTCTCTCTAATAGTTTCCCAATTTTTGTTGATATCCACCTCTGTCTGCAAGTTTTCCAAAGCCGCGAACCTGTTTTAGATCTCAACAGGATACTGCTCCTTTCCTTCTATCTCATTTAATTTCTTCAGATTGAACCTCTCAATGTGAACTGTGTTCGTTATTTTTTGCTCACCGCAAGTATTTACAAAAAAAAATGCCACCACCAGCTGGTGGTGGTAAGTGTCACAATCTGCTGCCCTGAATGATCGGATATTAGGTGTACTTGAATGCCATCTCTAATTTATCAAAATATGGTCAATTCGATTGTGTTTTTTCCCATCAGGAGGTGTCAAAATAAATTTA